AACATTTCGATAGAGAATATCATTTAATATATTTTTAAATATTTAAATGTTAATTATGGTAATATTTTAATATTTAATAGGAATTTTATTGTTATTAGACTGACAAGATTTAAACAAATATAAATTCTTTAATTACTACGGTGGTCTGGAACGGATGAGATTCTTTAAATAATAAATGAAGCTCTCTTGTCTTTGGTTAGTTGGGAGTGTACTTCCCTCTCAGTCTTCCCGCGTCCCTGGCGGGTGTACTCAGCGCTCCTGCCCTGTGGGAAATACATTTCGCACTTCAGCGTTCACAAAGTATGCACACTGGAAGCACACGTTCATCCCTTCCTAGAACTTTGACGCAACTTCTTCGGAAGAAAAGCAGCGAGTATCAGATACGAAGCCCGAGTCTGCTCAGGGGTGTGTCTTACCACCTATAACAGCGCGTTACTGTAGTGTAAACTGCCTTTCTTATTTATTTTAGAGGAACTGATTTTTATTAATACAGAGGGCTTTAGTATTGTTTGTGGAGATTGGATTTGACTGTAACGTAGTTCCTACTAAGTCTAGTTTCCATAGAGGTATAAAGTTTGCTGATGTCGTAAAGTAAATGAACCCGGGGCAGTCGGAGTGGACGTCCAGATTTCGATTTCAAGGATGGCCACGAGTCTTCCCTTTCCGTCACCCGGAGTTTAAAGCGGCCGGACCGTGAGGCTTACCACTTATCTATATATGCAGAACCGAGGTTAAAAATCTGTCCAGCTTTACCGCCAATTATCGAAGAAGTTTTTATGACGACGTCTTTGACATGAGGTCAGCTTTTCTTTTGAAATTAATTTCCCATATCACTGAAAGATGTGAGATGGTTAACTAGAGAATTTTTTTTTTACAAAGGTGGTAGCGGCTTATCTCCTCCTTTCATGCACACTCGTGATTCCTCCTAAACGTCAATAAACTACAGTCTCATTCATGATTTCATTCACGATCGTTGTTATTAAAATATTTTTTTCGATTGTTTGTCCTTACGATTAGGTAATGTGCGAAGAATATTTAAATCAGTACTCTTATCAGTAACAGAATAGTTTCGCTCTTCTAGCACTGGCTAATTTTCAAATAATGTGACGGGCCGTACAAAATCGTTGTGAGAGACACATGCGGCCCGCAGTTTATCAAACCCTGGCGTAAATTAACGAACAGGTTTCTGTTTGGTGCCGAAGATAGTGTGGGCCACGACGAAATCGATATTCCTTCCGCCGGACGCAGATGGCGTTCAAACAATTGCCCCGAGTAAGGGAAATATATGTTTTCGTTTCCTCATCGTTTGTACCACATTTCTCGATATGTATTTTTAACGGACTTGCAGACACTGCGATGAAAAATTAGGCGAAAGTTGGTGGGTTGGGATTTCCTTATAAGATATGCCATAGATCTCATTAATTTTATTTGAGTACTCCAGTTACTATTATTACTCAGGGCGCAGCCGTTTAAATTTCAGTCAAGATGAATATGTATTGCATTAATAATTTTTAATTGAAATACAGCGTAATTCTGACATATTCTCTATGCATTACTGTCTGCAATTAATAGTTATTGTTGTGCTCATAATGACGCAACAGTATCTAAAGAAAATTATTGTAGAAGGAAAATAAAAAAAAACTTTTCCTACTTAAGTACTAGGCAGTAGAGTGAATTCATGTTTGTTCCCTGTAGCGCATTGTTCAGCTCAAATACTAATGTTTTTTTGTTTATTTCAGAACCTCAAGAATCAGATCATGACTACCAACCTATGGGTGGAACAGGTACGTTGTTGCAGAGAAATAAAGAAACAAATGAATAATTTCATGTTTCAATTTAACGAATTATTAAACCAAGCTGATATACTGTATATACAAATACAGAATGATCTGGAACACCGTATTCCACGTACTGGCAAATGCTGAACATACCGAATCAAAACGTCCAGTTAATATCTAAAATTAACTTAGTTTAAAATGTATTGGGGCCTACAGCTTCATGTAACCTGGAAAAACATTCTACCAGACTACACGGCCCAACATTCCAGATGTCAGTCATGCTCATTCATTTCGGAACTTTCATGAACTTTTGAATTGCGGAAATCTGTGTTACAGTCGTGGAACGATTACAAACTACAATGGGACCCTAAGGAGTACGGTGGAGTGGAGATGCTCCATGTACCCTCGGACCACATCTGGAGGCCGGACATCGTGCTCTACAATAAGTGAGTCGAGACGAAATACCCGAAGACAGTGCTCCAAGTGTTAGCAATAATCAATAATTACGTTAAACACAGCTGGATACTGTTTGCTCACGCTCACAAAGGATGCAATTACAATCGCGTGAACCTAGCCGAAATCGTTGACGTAGTAACTTAGTTTTCGTTATTGTTCACCTGTTTTGAATTATGTGAGAGACTGGCTTAAAATGACACACTATAAAAAAAACATCGATTTAACATACTAGCATTGACCACAGAATATATAACTGCATGCTTACTGTAATGTTTCGTGTATGAAGAAATGTTATTCCACGTGCATTCACATTTCTTTCTATTGGCACTTTTTTAAAGATAAATATTTTCAAAATGTGTACAATTTGTATTTTACTCTAAAGCCCTGGGTAAAAGACATACATTCTATTGTCTTTGGGGACTATTATTATGTTTATCAATGAAGATTAGAACACATGTAATTTTATCATGATGAACAGCATACTTGGCAGAGGATCTATACAGGAAAAAGCACGATATAACACAATAGAAGCAGCACCTTCGTATCAATAGTAAAGGAAAACATATTCAAGCTGATAAGATCGAAATATAGTAAAAGTTAACATCTTCATGAAATTTGGACATTGGAAAATAGACTCATGGAGTGACGAAAATGCTCTGTGCTACTACATCTGTGTAGAATTCACACACAAACGAAGTACGACGTTTAACCCCAAGATGGCTGCACTTATTTTACAAGCCATAATCTAGAAGAGCACATGTCACGTTGATCGAAGCAATTAGTATAAATTATTACTTACTTTCGAAGTCTTCACTGGATGTCTGTTTCAATAAACTGATTACAAATTCTAGGTTGATGATGCTGATAACTATGAATGTAAAATCACAAGACAAACATCAGAAAATACACTTTCACACACGCAAAGCTTGAAAACTGCGCTCCGTCAACACGCCATCTTTCGCTGTAGTTGGAAACCAATACTACCAACCTAGCGGCGCGAAATTTAAAAGCGATGACTTCACTTGTCAGTAATGCTGGGGTCATTTTAGACTCGTTTTCCCTGTTTTTGATTTTTGTACAGAGCATTATATCGGTTTAATTTAGTGTGTTAATGGCATTATTTATACAACTGTATTTATAACTTGTGAGATGTATACTAAAGATTTTAATATGGTATAACGATGGGAAAGAAAGACCTAGATGTGGGCTGGAGGAACGGAAGGAGGTAAATGTACGAAAGGGATAGGAAAGGAGATAGGAGGGTCAGGAATAAGGGTGAAAAAATGATTCCTCATTGAATTTCATCTTGTTTTACACTACTAATGCACAAATTCAACCACGCAGCTACAGAGGCACCAAGCACGCAATTCATAAAATCACATGGAAGAATCTCCTGTGACGAATTTCACTGAAAACTAATTTTGTTCTCAGTGCTGATGGTAATTTTGAAGTAACCCTGGCAACGAAGGCGACACTTAACCACACTGGTCGCGTGGAATGGAAGCCGCCTGCCATCTATAAGTCCTCGTGTGAGATAGACGTCGAGTATTTCCCTTTCGACGAGCAGACATGTGTCATGAAGTTTGGGTCTTGGACCTATGATGGCTTTCAGGTAAAGAGATCTGAAATGTAAAGTTTAAGCACACAGTCTAAAGTGTGTTTTCGTCCTCTCTGTGTGGCCTTCGCTGGAACTGGTAGACCGATTTTTAAGTTACGGTATTTGGTAACGAACAAGACGTTTTGGTTCATACTATGTTATATTCCCAATGGCTCTGAGTGAAGAACAGAATGTACGTTTAAAAGTATTTCGATAAATGTTTACCAAACCAAAAAAGCTCCTCACAAAATTCGATTCCTACTTTTTCTGTTTTTCTCTGCCCTCCCCATTCCTTCTTTCTCGATATACTACTATACCATTCTGTGACATACAGAACATCATTATGTGAGCTGTGTACTTCATTGTTAACATAGAATGCGTTTCTTACAGGTGGATTTACGCCACATCGATGAGGTTAGGGACTCTAACATCGTGGAGATAGGTGTGGATCTATCTGAGTTCTACACATCTGTAGAATGGGACATACTGGAAGTGCCAGCAGTGAGAAATGAGAAATTCTACACGTGCTGCGATGAACCGTATCTGGACATCACATTCAATATCACGATGCGCCGAAAGACGCATCTCCTTCCTTACAGTGCTGGTCTTCTATTTACCATCTGACAGTGGTGAGAAGGTAGGTTTACGTGTTTCTTGTTGGTTTTGTATTCATACACGAGTCACTAGAAAGTAATTCTAAACTTTCCATGTCCTTACTCTGAATCTGAGTCTAGAAAAGTATCAGGGCTACAGTAAGGCCACAAATATGATAATTTATTGGCTAGTTCAACCTTGTACTCAGCGAAAGGACAGAAGTGGATAAGTGCAGAGAATTTGTCAAAAAATTGAAAGGGAGGGGAAATAGAAGTCAATTATGTTTCAGGAGACAATGGTTGTTTGTTGTGGGAACCAAACAAAACTCATGAATGGCATAACAATTGATTTATAGTAGTTCCCAAATTAAATTTCTCCACATTCTTCTCTTATTACTGAAATTAATTTAATTAAGATCTGATAATTATTCTGTGATCCAATTAATACTCATTCAAGTGATGTTATTAAATTTCACGCTCACGTATTTGCTCTGTAACGGAAAAGTCCAGTAATTCTGTTCTAAATTTTGCTAGCGGAGAATCTCTCTTTAGTCACTGATTCACAGCGGCCTACTGTCGCATTGCATTACCATAACAGTGTGCTGTCACCTCAGTGTCTCACGTTAATCTGACGTTTGCAGGTGAGCTTGTCAATCTCCATCTTGCTGTCACTGACTGTGTTCTTCCTGCTGCTCGCAGAAATCATCCCCCCAACCTCACTGGTTGTGCCTCTACTTGGAAAATTTGTGCTCTTCACCATGATCCTTGACACTTTCAGGTATTCCAGTCCAGTTATTGAACTTGGAATGTTGAAATGTTTAAGCACATCAGATATTGCTTAGGTCACGGGGTCAGAAATGGAGTACCATTTATATTACCCTCTCATAATAAACATAAGTCTTTTGGGGTCCGCTTATATATGCAAAAACTTTAAGAATTCTTCTTTATTATGCGTATAAATTAAAGTAAGCATATTATTTGTAGTTGTGACTGTTTATCTTGTAAGACACTACAAAAATAGGAATAGGGTGGTCTTCTTTATTTTCTTTTTTAAAGACAAATTTGGCAATAAACCCTAAAATAATTGAAGTGAGAGCAAAATCTTCCATAGCCAATTAAAGAAAGAAGCAAAAGAGTTCTCGTTATCAGAAAATATTACTGTCTGTTGTAATCATATCAATAAATAGTAAAATAAACTGTGTTCTAGTATCTGCGTGACAGTTGTGGTGCTCAATGTTCACTTCCGTTCGCCACAAACACATACCATGGCCCCGTGGGTTCGCCGTGTGTTCATTCATATACTTCCTCGTCTTCTTGTAATGCGTCGACCACAGTACCAAATAGAGAAACGCAGGTTTGTTTAAGCTGTTTTATTTTTTGTAACATAGATGGCGCTGAACTTTTGGATGACCAATTACAAAGTTAAAATCAGACTTATTATTACCATATTGTATTATGATAAATGTATCCAAGAAACCAGGATTAAACTGGAATAAATTATAATCCTGTAGCTGGATTATGGTTTCCACTTTCTTGATATGTCATGATGGTTATTTCCAGCTAATACACATGTCTTTTAAGCATTCTTATTATGTTTGCTGTAGTTTTGCGGGCTCTTCAGCCCGAATAATGGTTCGCACGTGCAATGGGCTTGAACTGCGAGATCCAACTCTTTTGGCCGAGTCGTCCGCTTCTGAACTTGTGGATTCCACTCACACCACAGAACTTTTTCCCACATTGGACTCACATGATGAGCTCACTCCCAGGTCAGTGCTAATACATCTTAAACTAAAGAGAGCTCAAATATGTTTTCATTCATTAGTCATTTGAAATTTGTTTTTGTACAATATCGATATTTTAAACTCACGTCAAATTATACTCCTTCCATACCCAAGGTGAAATTAAGTACAGTCCTGGTTCTTGAGACCAAAATTTGGACCATAAAGGCTTGTTTCTTTTGTAGGGAGCTAGAAGCAACAGGTCTGGGGTCAGGATGTCAAATCCATGGCGTGCCCTCTCTACCTCCACTGTGTCAGGAGGATGGGTTCCTGGCACCAGGCCTATCTGAAGAAACTGCCAGTCCATTATGCAGACACTTGCACCACTGGCATAACTGCCCAGAGCTCCATAAAGCTATTGATGGGGTCAAGTTCATCGCTGACCACACAAAGAGGGAGGAAGATTCTACCAGGGTGCGTATGCTTGTTGATACTGAAATATGTCCAGCGAAATACCTCACTTCTGTGATGAAACTAAGATCTCCCACTCATTTTCCATTAGCAGTTACAGAAAATTTAATTATATCACTTCTTCAAATAATAATTTATATTTCGTAACTGATTGGATTAGAAGCCATTGAATTTAAGTCATTAAACTTATTACAAAGAAACAAGTTCATTTAATTTATCCATATTCAGTTTAAATTGAAAGCAAGAACAAAAAGTATTTCTTGTTATATTTTTTGGCATGAATTAATATAGCAATATAGAAAAACATGTTATATTCCACGGGGTCCGCAGTGGCCGCGGGGTCTGAGGCGTGGGCCTTGTGCTGTTTGGTCGGTGGGACCATGGGTTCGAATCCCACTCAAGCCATGGATGTTTGTCCGTGTTTTTCTGTGTTGTGCTGTCCTGTGTACAGGTAGATGCCTTGCGACAGGCAGATTCCACGTCAAAGGAGACTTACCGAATGTCTATAGATCGATCCAGCGAAAAGTTGGGACCTGCAGTGCTCAGGCACTTGAAGAACAGGTCATTCCCGGTATCCGGCTATATTCCACAGACTGAAAAAATCAATGTTCCTCATTTGCTTCTTAGCCATCAAAGTACAGACATGCTGCTATGGGATTCTCTATACATACAGGTGTATATTTTTAATAAGATGTTTCATTGTTTATTTTCTTGAAAACAGGTTCAGGAATCCACTGTTGTTGAAGATTGTGTCTTCTGGGGTGTTGCGCCACATAGTCTGGTAAAAAATGACTGACATTTCAGAGGTGCTTACTGCCTCCATTATCATGGTGATGAGTAGCATCTCTGAAGTGCCAGAAGACCGCACAGAGTAACATTTCATGTGTTGCTGTGAGAACCTGAAATCTCGGTATTGGCTTGCTGGGCATGGCCCCACACTGCATAATATTTATGACAATGGTTACAGGTAAAAGAGGATTGGAAGTATGTAGCAATGGTGTTGGATCGACTATTCCTATGGATCTTCACGCTGGCCGTCCTGGTGGGAACAGCTGGTATCATCCTACAGGCACCGACGCTTTACGATGATCGTATTCCCATCGACGTTCGCCTGTCTGAGATTGCTTCCACAACGGTCAAACCCCTTAAAAACACCACACTGTGAGCCATGACCCTGATGTAGATCCTAATAAGTTGCAAGCACTGGTGTTGCTAAATCAAAATACTGGACACATTCCCATCTTTGCCATTTTAAAGCTTTTTTAATGAGGGTCGGAGTTTGTTTGTTTCTGTTCCAAAATGGCTGCCATGGGCCATAGGGATGCACAGGAAGACGCTAGGCAGTAAACCTGCGTGGATCACATAGCAGCTTCGTTGCTGCTTTGTCTTCATCATCTGATGCATGAACAAACTGACATTCACAGATGATAATAATAACTTCCTTTTTAAGTAACTTTTTTCCTATGGCAAGTATATTTCTATCTTTTTTCTTTCTTCCTTCCTTTGTTGTATCTTTTTCTACATCTTTATTTCTCTCTTCCTCTGTCTGCTGCATTCTTTTATTTCTTTAATTGTAATTTGGTGGATTATCCCAAGAATTATGATTTTCATTAAAACTTGTAATATATTTTAACATGAGGAGGAAAGAAGACAATTTCAGAACATAAGCAATAATTTTGAGTATTTGCATTCTTCACAACCTTTTAAAAATGATGTGCCTAATGCTAATTTAGGAAATACAACAAAAAAACTGAAATCTCTCATATTTATGTTTGGCATAAGAGACTGAAGATACATATTTTATGCTAGTATCAATGATTCCAGTGTAATGAATTTAAATGGGGCAGGTCCCTGACTGTGCCTGTTAAAACTAGCACAGTTTGGAACTGGTTGTAGCAAAGTGGTGTAAGGAATGAAATTTTAAAAGGCTTTTAGTAGGAAGAATCAGAGGTAAGGGCATAAAGAATTTCACTAAATTACTTCTGAATGAGGAAGGAGTAAAGGTCACTTGGTAGTATGTTATGTATAATTTATTGTGGATCAAGAGTTGAGTCTTATTGAAGTAATGCAACAAACTCGTTTCTTATATCCAATTTCATGAACTTTGCGTCCTGGTTGCAGAAGTCAAATAATATTTGAAAATCGCTCTCAGTGCCAGCATAATTGTTATAAATAATTTATTACTTTTAATTATTTACCAAGATTATCCTGAAATGGATTATTTCAATTATTTTGTGTAATTTATAGAGTTCTGAGCTGGCACGTGTGCCTTGTATCAAGCCTGACTAACGTGTCCAATCTTTGTCATTCAACTGATTTTTAATCATACAGTTTGAATTTGACAAAAACACCAGAAAGTTATTAACAGTTGAGTTTCCCCAAATTTGATACATATTTTCACAAGCACACCAGAATGTGCACATGCATGCATGGGTATGTGAGCACGTGCATGTGGGCATGGGGTGTGTGTGTGTGTGTGTGTATACTAAACTTCATGCCTGGGTTCAGTCCCGGGTGACTTCAAGTGAGATTTATGTTGGATGAAGTGACAGAGGAGCAGGTTTTTCTTTTGAGTTTTTAATTTTTTTCCCAGCTAATCATTCCACCATTTCTTCATATTCATTTATCACTGCCGCACAGGGTGTGCAGTAGCCCTGACCAAGAAGCAGTTTATCATACCCTGGTTCTAAGTTAGGGGCCTCGTCTTTGACCCAGCAATTGGTTAGTCTCAGAGTGAAGGTAGTTTAGCTTAAATGTATGTCGGTACCTTTTTTTAACTGACAGACTGCTGCTGTTGATTTGGCACCTTAATTTAAGATCCATAGTTTTAGACATCAATTAGTGTTATACTATGTACATTTTACCACAGTTACTATAATTACTATTTTAAAACTTAATTTATTTCACTTTGTTTTGTACGAATTATTATTGTGAAATGTCATTTTGAAAGGTTTTGGTATATAGGAATCATAGTTAGATTTGGCATAGACACCGTTACAAGTAATGATTGGTTTAAAAAGAAATCATAATTCAATGTGTTTGTTCTGTTTAGCGAGGTGATAGTCATATCAGTTATAAGGACCATTATTACCTGTTTGCATACTAAAAGGCAACACATGTGCCGGAGCTGCCATTTTCCAGAAAATGGATGAAATAAACTTAAATTTAGGAATTGGCATTTCCCCCGTACTAGATATGAAGTTTGTGCTGTTGCGACTGGATCACTAGAGCCTATTTGTAGCAATAGAGTGCACCGTGATATTTGGGAAGTAGTTTTAAGAGATGCAAGTTATCCTTATATAGTTATATAATTATGTGCACTTGTGGTCATGACGTGTGAGTACATAGGAAATATTAGCAATTTAAAACACTCTGCATTTGATTTCATGTGAAATGAGTATAAAATGAAATGACCACTTAACACACAGATTCTATTTGCAGCTATTGCAATTCATGTTCATGTTGGTCTTGTAGGTTGTAACAATTTGTGGGCTTATAGATAGGTATCTGCGTACGAGTCCACATGGCGTTACAACCCAGTAGACCAACGTCAACATCTTCACTCTGAGAACCTCAAATCTGACACAGTGTAATTCATGGCTGTAAGAGTTTGCTGTCTCATAAAGCCTGCATTTAATTTGTTTTTGGCCTAAGGTGACCCATGCAGTTTGACCGCCTGTGCTATTCATAATTTTAATATCCTCCAAATGAAACAAACAAACACAAGATAGACACAGGGGAGCAAAATGTGGTTTTTTTTTGTAATGAGCCAATCAAATTTTGGCCACTTAAGAAAGTGGTCTATCATGATGATAGGTCATATTGGCACAGAACTGTTTGTTTTTAATATATCTCTTATGGCTGTAGAGTTCAGAGGGTCCACAAACAGAGGCCTGTGTTGTTGACGTGTGAGTGATTTTTGAAAAAAAAATTACCTGGGGGTGTATTGCTTTCATTACAGGAAGCCACACACGAGGTTCTTAGTATGGCTCTTCAGTTGCTTTTACAGCAAACGTAAGCTGGCATTTGCCATGTCTTGGACCTAATTCAGACACTTGTGCCAAGTTACTTGTTGGTATATTTGGTGACAGCATTTTGTACAACAAAGGAGCTTTCTTATATAATGTGTTCTAAGGCAGTGATATTCAACCTGGGGTACGCGTACCCCTGGGGGTACATGAAGACATCTTAGGGGGTATGTGAAATTTAAAAAAAAAAATTATTTTATGATAAACACTGAATAATCAGTAATGTAATTTATTTAATTTATTTTAGATGTAGATTATATATTATGTATAACTTGAAATATACACCAACAACTTTGGGGGTACAAAGTTGAAGAGAAATTGTATCTGGGGATACACGAACAAAAAAGGTTGAATATCACTGTTCTAAGGCATTTAAATATGCAAGAAAAAGAAACAAGATAAATTTGATACTATTCACAGATAAACTGCTACATACGTATTTTAATATGTATGTATTCTTAATCTTGCATCAAGGAAATATCAGTTTGTGTACGAGAAATACAATGTTGGAAATGAATGTATACAGTATTATGTTGATCAAACAGTATGCTCCTTAACACACAATATGAAATTGTGTAACCATTTATTTCACGTTAATAGTATCTACCGAGGACTAGTATACATTTAATATAAAGTAATTTAGTTATAAATGATGCTCTAAATCAGTAGTTCAGATTAATATAGCAAATGTTTCAATATTAAATTTCAGTATGGATGGAAGTTGAGTATGTAGAAGATCAAGTCACTGTTCTTTGTTAAATTACCAAATTATTGAATCCTCCATATTTTGCAGTCGTGGTAGTTCAGCCACAAAGATGATGGTTTTCATTTCTAGCAGAGGCGTTGGTATTTTTATCTGAAAAATTACATTACTTTGGTTCTGCTCCTACCCAATCCCCTGTGTTATGGAGTGAGACTGAACACTCGCAACATCATATTTGAAAGATTAGAATGTTTGATTCGTGACTTATACTCCTAATGTGTATCTTCATGAAACAGTAACTTTGCCAATGAAAGAAAGAAAGTTGGTATTTATCATGTCCTTTTCTGTTTTGACAGTAAGATTTCTTAATATGTTTTATATTCAAATATATATATTTTACACATTTATTTTGAGTACACACTGAAACCAGTACACCCCCTATCTATTGCTCAGTTGTATTATCATCATGACCAAATGAATAGTGGTACAATTAGTTACCATTGTTATAGAATACACTTATCACTGTTTTTGTTCGGCTTGCCATAAGCTGGTCTTAGGCTACTATGTATTCGTCTTGAATTGATGTTAAAATAAGTTATTTGTCATGGACATATCAATTAATATTTCACAAGCCTGATCACAGTTGGAAGAGAGATATGCTGTAACCTTTGCATCAAAGGAATTATTTTATCTTTATTCCTCATATCACAGGATTTAAATTCCTCTCAGGATATGTGAGCATTTTTCATGAACTTCTATTCTGTTTCAATATATACAAAACTTTCAGTATATCAGCTAGGTAACAGCATGTGAAGGTGAGTTCAGAAGCATAACCAACTCTGACCAGGCAGGCAGGTAGGGGTGCAGTGATACCAACAACATAAAAATGAATACACATAGGTTAGGTTAGTGGCACAGAGCACTTAAGACTCTTATTAGGGAGCCATGTCTAATCATGTCAAGTTAATTTAAAGCTTTTTCTTCTTATGATATGTTAGACATACAGAAGGAAATGTTTTATTGGGTCACAGGTAGTCCTCAATCTAGGCAGTCCACTTTACTGTATAAACAATTGTGTAGCTTTATAGCCTATTGATATGTTGTAATGTTTTATAATTACACACACACATTTCATTCTTTTTAGTAGAAACCATATTGTCATAAAATCCTCATTTACTATGGAAAGTGAGAATAACAGGTTCTTTACAGTTCAAGACGAATTCCAGTTTCCCTGAAATGAAACTAGTACATTCCCTAATATCTTCAGTGGAACAATTTTCTTTTTATTTCTCAAAATGAATTGAGTTATGGGGGTCCGCAGTGGCTGCGCAGTCTAAGGCATAGGCCTTGTGCCGCTTGGTCACTGGGACCGTGGGTTCGAATCCCACTTAAGCCATGGATGATTTTCTGTGTTGTGTTGTCCTGTGTACAGGTAGAGGCCTTGCGACGGACCGATCCCTTGTCCAAGGTGTCCTACCGAATGTCCATAGATCAAGCCAACTGAAAAGGTTGGGGACCCATAAAGGGTACCGGAAAATGTAGAAACATTGTTAAACTGGAAAAAGATGAATTGAGTTATTTTATGTTGACTTAATCATTGAATGTAGTTTGATATAGAAATGGTAATAAGATATTTTGGTGGAGCATCGATTAGTGAGAACTGTAGGTAACCTGTAATTAGTTCCAAAAAAAGACTTTCCTGTTGATACAAAGTATACATTTCTTTTGGCTCTACAAAACTTTAAAATATTTCATATGAATCACGTTAACTTATCTAGCTGTTGTATACCACCTGCAAATTGCTATTGTATCTTATTGAATGTATAACATAAAGAAGTAAAAAAAGGAAGTATCACTCTTGAGGACAAATATTTGTTCATATAAAACTGGCATCACTGCTCCCTTCAAGGTAACAGATCTCCTTAACTTTTCTGTTGTCTCATTTGTCCTTGTTATCCCTTGTTGATCCATTTCTCAAGAAGACTACATAATATATTTTATTACTTTCCATTCTGAACACACTATCTCATAAAATATATACTATAAAAAGAATACTTTATATCCTGTAACTCAAATAATAAATAATGTTTTTGTAAATAAATACTGTTGAATAAATAAATAAATTATCTTTTTCCTCTTTAGTTGCTTACTTGTGTTTATCCTGTTGTATGTGACTTCATAGGGTATGTGTTTGCATGGGATAACTACTCGTGTTTTAATTTCACTGTGACCATGGTTATAACACAACATTTAGAATTCTGCCAGACAGAAAATGTGTTTTTTGCACTGGTGAAATTATTAAATACATAAGGTATAGAAGTGAAATAATAATGAAGGTTCTTTTATATTAGTATTAGTTGTAATAAGGTTTTGTCAAGAAATTTAAATTACAAGTGTGACTGGATGTTCTTAAAGTGGGTGTCTTGGTGTTAGATTTTGTTGAAGCCTGGCTTTTAATCTGTACTAGACATTTTGTTTACATTTTTAGGTTCTTTTTTTTTCAAATTAGTTTATTTGTATGCAACTAATTGATTTTTAAGGGACTAGTATGTCATGTTATGCATATTTAGAAATTTAGTAAGCATTCCAAACTTATAGATTTATATGTATGAATAAACAAATTCATTGTATTTCATTTGTTTCAACAAAACTATATCATAATACCAAGCTTCCAGCTTGTTCATGGTGCTGCTTTGGTTGCATAATGTTTTGAAGGTATAGAGAGGAAACAGTCATGGGCTAATTTAATCTTTGGTGAGAGAGGAAAACACATTTCATACATTCTTTACATTCTAGTTAGCTAACTGCAAGTATTTAAAATTCACTGAATACACAGAACCAGGGATGTTAATCTTTGCAAAGTTGTACAACCATATTTCAACCATTAGTTCTTCTTTATGTAAATAACACTTTATTATACCCAAGGGCATAAAATAAATTAATGTGAAACTTTTTTATATTAACTGGAATATATGGCAAATTTTAGGATCTTGCAAACATTAACCTAGGTCTCAAAGGGGAAGGGGGAGTCCTCCATTTCTTTCTATTTTAAGGTTGGTATTCATGCAGAGCACTCTGTTGTGAGGCGAACTTGTGTTTCTTGCAAAGAAAGTCGTGTAGTTTCGTGAGATTTTACGTTTTAAAGACTGTGAGTATGAAGATGATTGTTTTCTGGGTTATTGTGCCATGTGTTCTGGTCTCATCGTCCTTATGGAGGCGACAAGCACCTGTAAAATGTAAGTAAACTTCTGTCAGTCAACACAGCGGAAAAAGACAGCACTGTTCATCGTCTAGTTTAATTTGTTTCGTGTCATATTTGTTAGTGTTAGTGAATATGTGTTTGGGCGCACAAAACGAAGAGTAGCATGTGAATACATTAGATATATTTTTGTTGTTTCCAAGTAAGAAATATTTAATAACTAGAGAATGCCTGAACTGAAAATTATGAAATTTGATAGGGAAGTTATGTCATGAATCACTATAACCTCTTCACCCGTGATGATAACCTGTACGTTGCAACTGATTTATCTAACTGTATTCCGAAACTTAAATTCTGCTTGTCCCTCCAATTAATTGCATAAGGACGTAGTTCGAATAGTAAGATATATATTACTATTCGAACCACACACACATTTTTTTGACGCCATTACCCATAATCCTTGTGCAATCGTATCACTAGCTTAATATAACATAACCCAACTAACCCAACCCAATCCGATCTGGCAACTTCACAAGTGACATCTGTTGACGTATTTAGTAACCAGAAAGCGGCTGGACCGAAACTAATGAAATTTGGTATGCACGTTATGTCGTAGATAACTACTCAACTTCTTGAATTAGTAAGGTGGGATGATGGCGCAACTGTCCATAGTCTTCTGCAAATGTGCATCACAAACCTAATGACACCTGACCGAAACTGTTTACCCGTTATAACAGTCTGCTTATATTCATGCTTATGTTAATTTCACTACCATATTCAGCCACTTGTAACGACTTTTTAAAATTATAAGTTCCTCTGCTTTTGTACTGTTCTTTATAGAATTTAATGGCATTGCTGTATTTTTATAGAACTGTTCATTATTTTTTATTTTGATTTAGATTGTGTACTGGTTTAACAACAGTAATGATGTAGTTTAATTTTTTAAAGAACAACAAAAAGATGGCAAATGTTTTGAAGCATAGTTTTCTTCAGATACATTTTACATAATTTTTTAACGTTCATACATGAACTCAAATATGTTATTTTCTTTTATAAAAATTAGAACATTAGAGGCTGATAGAGAGATTATTATAAAGCCTGTTACAATTATTTACAGCCTTCTTATTTTGTAAGGGTTTTACATTATACAACGCAAATTTCGTTAAGAAATGCCCTTTGTGTTGTAGAACAATATCCTCTAGCTCAGTGGTATTCAACCTTTTTTGTTCGCGTACCCCCAGATATAATTTCTCTTCAACTTTGTACCCCCAAAGTTGTTGGTGTATAATTCAAGTTATACATAGTATATAATCTACATCTAAAATAAATTAAATAAATTACTTTACTGATTATTCAGTGTTTATCATAAAATAATGTTTTTTTTTAAATTTCACGTACCCCCTAAGATGTTTTCGCGTACCCCAGGTTGAATACCACTGCTCTAGCTGAACTAGTGTTATAAACAGATGATAAAGGGAAAACAGTGCAAGAGTAGTGTTAGATGTCACCATATTCTAAAGGTCAGCCCACTATATTATTATATGTAATTTAAAATATGTGTATGGACTGGAATTTCCATGTGTTTGCTAGTAGTCTACTGTACTACATTGTTACTTCTTTATTCGAGATATCGTCGGCATTAGTTTACAAGTACTATAGCACTAAAAGTATCGATCGAACACAGCTCACGTCCAGCCGTTCGGCCGTCTTCACACACACTGACCTCATTCAGAAAACAACACAACCGCTACCGTGATCTTACTCAGTCACCCGATAGTGGACTAATTTTATCAAGCGCAACCCTCCTTGAGAAGCTAATAGTCGCTCAGCCAGTCAAGAAATTTCCGGCATTTTATTATAAAACCCATAGGTTACAGAAGAGCCCATCACAGGTTATTGTCCTGAGCCGGATTAATCCAGCCTTCTCCATTCTATCCTGTTTGTCTACGATCCATTTTAATATTATTCTTCCATCTATACCTACGTCTCTCGAATGATCTCTTCTTTTCGGAATACACATCCAGTCTTAGTGCACATTTCTTGTATTACTTGCTACATGCCCCGCCCATCTCGTACTCCATGATTTTATCATCCTAATAATATTTGATGACCAGTACAAATTTTAACCCTGTCACTTTTCCACCTGAAGACCAAATATTCTCCTCACCCCCCCCCCTTCTCAAACACCCTCGATCTGTGTTCTTCCTTTGATGCTCAAGCCAAGTTTTACACCCGTACAGAACAAGAGGTAAAATTATAGTTCTGTGTATTTTCATCTTGGGGGGAGTGGTTTTGGGATTTGATCACACGGACA